TTTAAAGCCGTCTTCCATCAGAGCAGCTGAACATTGTTGTTAGACTGTTACTGACTCACAACACAAACACTAATCCTGTGTGTGAAATCACTGCGTGCTGAACTGTAACTGTCATTTTATTTACTGTCTGACTTTAGAGAGTAAAACACTAAATATCAACAATATAGAAACAGAGTGAAACAAAAACATCTACACTTCATATCTTGTACAACAGCAGCTTCACCTGCTGCTCAGATAACACACCTGGAAATCATAATTATTCTACACATGTTCATGTGTTATTAGAGTAAACTGAAAAGGATGCTAGTTCATCTGTATAGTAACAATTTGTTTAATTTTTTTTACTTGAAGCTGGTGAGCTATTCTACAAAGCAATGCCAGTTTTGTCCTTCAGTTTGTCAGTACTTCTAAGAAGTATTAATATTTGCTAGCAAACAGGATCCATATAAACATGATACAATGATTATAGTAACATGATTTGATACATTGCACTGTGACACACCAATTTAATTTACAATTTCTGATCAAATAAACTGTGAAATATATTTTTATAACATAGAAATATGTCACTGAAAAAATGTAAAGATATAAATAGTTCACATATAGTAACAGCTGTTTTCTTTTTTATGAACTTAAATCTGACGTGCTATTCCAAAACCCAACAGCAGTGTTGATTTACAGTTTTTCAAAACTAGTATTTAGTATTAATTTGATCTTTCATGAAGATGTTTCAACATGACTGTGTTGTTGTTACTGAGCTACAGTTTTTCTAGTAATCACATGATGTCATCATTTTCATACAGGGAGAAGATTATCACATATTTTCAGACTCTTTCGGACAAATAGCCAAATAATAACATCTGTGTTCTCCACACTCTTCTGTGATTCATTTGTTCAGTCACACAGGGACTTTCATTAACTTGGATCAGCTGCTAACAACTCACTGAAACACAACTGATTTGACACTTTGAAAATATATTAATCAATGTGAGCATCTGGAAACTAACAAATTACTTTTTTATATGAGCGTGATGAATTGATAACAAGCCTTAATTTTTATGAAGTGATCACACATGTTTAAGATATCAGCCTTCAGGGGAGCACAGAACTAAAAATAATAAAACAAACACAGTAGTGTACAGAGAACAATGTTTCCTTCTGACTTTCCTTGACAGAGTACAAATATAACTGAAAAATTACCTGATGTGTGAAAAAAACAAAAATCACAATATCTAAAAACAAACAAACTCAAAGACAAGAATATTAATTTTAAATCATACAATAACAGTAAACCTTCTGGAATTAAATTTTTTTTGTACTGTTTGAGTTGATTTACCGCAGCAGCGAAACAATGAAAATGATGAAAAAAACTGTTGTAACTTTCTTTGTTTAAGACGTTATCTGTTCTGACGCAGTGTGAATTGTATGAAGTAGAATTCATTTACCTGAGCTGTGAGATGTAAGGCAGACACTGCAGGAAACTCCTCACTTCACTCTCTTCATGTGAGCAGCCTGTCAGCTCCACTTGTTTCTTCTCTGGTTGGAGTTTCAGCAC